CTTGATGTGTCGTAACTGCAGAGATATGTTTCAGTTTTGTACAACAAATAGAAAGTATTATGAATAAAGCCTGTCTAGCAGAATTGATGGGATGCACGATGAATATGTGCTTAATGGGATATTTCGTTGTTATGGTATGCTAACGATAACTAAAACTTCGTCTCAAATCGCAGACAACAGATAATTAATAATTAATAACAGATAACAGATAATTGAGATGCCACAAAAACAGATTACCTTATTTTCCTGCATTAAATAAAGACAGCAATTTATTTTCCAGAACTGGAGTGCGTTCGATAAGGCAAAAATATTATCACATTTTGTGGCATACATAACAGCGAGTATAAATATATTTATATTTTGTTACATCGGTGAAATCCTCACGGAAGAGGTAATACGCATGAAATAAAAAAAATTTTTTAGACGTGTAAAAATTCATTCATTTTGATAATGTACACTGAGAAAAAATTTTTTAATCCAAAAAAATATTTAGTCCAATACGTGCAACTAAACATTTTAATTAGTTTAACTAAACATTAGTTAAATTAATTAATTCTTGATTAAAAATGTTTGATGGTTGACATGCAACTTAATAATTGCTGAAACAACTTGTTAACTAATTAACATGTGTAGTTGCATATATCAAAATATTTTTAAATATCAAATTACGTACATAGTACAAGTAATTACACTGTTATTGCAATTTCTAGAACCAGATCGATTTCTACTAAAATGGAAAAAGTGGACTTTAGTGGACTAATTAGTTCCACCAAATAATGATTTTACTAGAGATCGAAATAACAGAAATCGCAATAATAGTGTCAATATTTGTATTATATAATTTAATTTACCGCATATACACAACTGCACCCCAGACTCACACTGGCCATTAAACTGTAACTACAGTAATACGAGTCAAGCAAATAGATCTGATTAATAATATCCTTTGATATCTTTTTACCATCGGCGTTAAACGTTCAGATACTTAAAGATATTTCTAAATATTTTTATTTATTAGTGTGAAAAAATTGGAGACATAACATATATGACTAATTGGTATAGACTGCCTCACAAAACAGCGCTTGGTCTCATTTTGATAATCAAGCAATCGAGTCACATTATCAAGATAACTGCGGGAAAAATAGTTCTGTTATCCATATCAACCTTCGGTGACGTAAGTAACACACATACTACAGTTATTGACGTCGAATATAAAATTTTTATAAAATTTACTTTCTTATCGTTCATAAATTGTTATAATAATTGTACATAATAACTTCACGATTTAATCTGATACAATATACTGTATCAAAACAAGTTTCAACAACCTAATAATTTATTGTACATTTTGTTGTTAGCAAAAAAAACAAAGCCATTTCGTCATTTCAGGTAATCAAAACTTCCACGGCATATTTAAATTTCTTACGAACGATGACCAAATAAAACGTAGAGAGGCTTAGTTATAAAACACATGTATGGAATATCTTCCAAATAGAATAGATGTTAAATAAACACGCTTAATAATTATTATGGTATAACAGAATTTTCTACGATTAATTTCTTGAAAGTACAAATAGTATTCCTCACAAATTCCCTGAAACTAAAGAAATTAAAACCAAATACTTTACGAAACGTACATGCATAGCCACAAAAAAAAATACTATCGTATTCCTCTCCAAACGTGGTCTTTAACAAGCATGTCGAGTACATTACAAAAAATTGCTAAAATATAATACAGATCATCGTTTGTTGACTTGTAA